TATATATATATATATATATATATATATATATATATATATATATATATATATACAGGCTTTAATAGGGTCCAAATTTAAATATTCATGTGAACAACCTTAAAAAAAATCTGAATTGTTTTCATTGACTAGCAGAGTGAAATCAAGTCAAATTTATTTATATAACGCTTTTCACAATACACAACGTTTCAAAGCAGCTTTACAGAAAATCATGATGTTAATGTTTATAATATCTTAATATCTTCATGCCTTACAGTTGCACTTAGCAGATTAGATCTGACCAATAATATAGTTATATTTTGTGACCCAAAAAAAACACAACATCAGCTAGTTGAGATTTGCTCTATAGTATATATGGCTTTATGTGAGCGTAGGTGTTTGTGCTGCAGTTAAAGAGAAGAACATAAAACCACTGAAGAGTTTTCACTCACTGACTCTTGACGTATGATGGACTGGAAACAGTGAAAAGTCCCTCGGTAAAGTGGTTTATCCACACTCTGGACCTGAAGACGAACCTACAGGAGAGATAACCTGATTACTACAAACCCACGATAAAAAGAGCTCGTACTTCAGAGTTTCTTTTGAATATGGAAGCAGGTGAAACGCCACTGTGGTTTAGTGGTTGAAGAACAGCGCTGGTTGCAGCCTAGTTTTAAACCTGGCAAGAATTGATTCAATAACACATTTCCTGTAAGTCACTTTGAATAAAAACTAATAGAAAAAATGCAACCTGTAAAAAATGCTATGCATTACAGCCTAAAAATACAAACAATGAAAACACAATGGCATAATATCAATCAATTACTTCTCAATTAAGTTCTTCCAAGTATAGGCCCTAAATATTCAAGACAGTAAACAGACAGTAGTAAAATAAGAAAGAAGCTACAAAATAAGTAATAAAAAAACAATTAAAACAAACATACAAGTGACAGAAATATGACTTTAAGCAGTAAGCAGTATTAATAATTCAAACCAGAAAACGTATTAAATACATTGATAAATATTTCAATTATAAAGTTAGCAATGTATTTCTTTTAGTTGAAACACAAGTTACTAACATAATTAGCTAATTATATTAAAGATGCTGTATATAAGGGGCATACTCTTTAGAAACAAACTATCAGGTGATTTTGTTTTTAATTATTTATTTTGAGAAATTAGAGCAGTATTTATCTGGCACAAAAATAATGGAGATCTCAGTGAATATAAAGCATTAAACTTGAACAGATAAATTCACACTAAATAAATTAATAATAAAAAAACAGCAGCATCAAAAAATTATAATCAAAATATTAAATAAATATTAAATTATTAAATAAATTTGCCAAATTTGTGTGTATATATATATATATATATATA